TGTTTTCCCTCCAAAAACAGTTAAATGATAATAATAGCAAAAGTATTATTAAGCAAAAAATACAAGTTTAATTTCAGTTTAAACATTGTTTCATATATAAGTCCCTCTAAACTTCTGCGGTTGGAAAGCAGTGCTGCAGCAGTGAAACCAAAACCAGAACCGACAGAGAGAGGAGAGATCTGTGTAGCCAGATCTCGTGAGAGAGGTCTGAATAAAGTTCATTTTCTCCTGATCTGTCGGTCTGAAAAATGACAATGTTCAGAAGATCTGTGGCTTTAGAATATTTATTTCGGTGACTGTGGGGCCAAAAGAATCTGTCATAATCTATGATCATGTAAACTTCTCTGAATGGACTCAGACCTGCTGCTGGTCTCCTAAAGGGGCCGGGGAGGTGGAGAAACCCACGTGACACAGTTACGGTGAACCGTCTCCTTTCTCAGCTGTCTCTGGTTTAGAGTAAGTTAGAGTCAAGTTTTGCAGAGCAGAGGGTAAAGTCTAAGTGCTTCTGCCATTTTGTGAATTCACCTGTACATAAATATTTAACCCAGTTGTTTATATATTATTTATTTAGTCAAGTTGTGTGACACTCTAGGAAATGAGAATTATGTCCCAGAGAAATACTCTATGCTGATTTAACATAAATGAGGGTATGTGCTTTACAGTTGTGCAGATGTGTGCATTTGTAAATTGGGTACATGATTATTAATTAGAGTAAACACTCTCACTGAGGAAACATCACCCTATGACTGATTGTTTCAGGGGACAGCTAGCCTGGCCCTGTCCCAGGTTCAGAAACACACCTACCAACACCTCTACAGCTCAGTGATGAACACACTCGTTCTCCACTTTAAACTACACAAAATGACAGTCTGCGGACTTAGAAGACATCAGTCATCCTTTACTTCTGTGCAGTGTCTCTGGTACAGTGCCAGTTCCCAGATGTGATCATGTTATTCAATGATATCTGGTGTTGGCTTTGGTCACTGTGACAACAAGACTTCAGGATGCTGCACATTTACTGACACAGCTGTGTCTGACACTAACTCCCACTTCACACAGTGACCGGCCAAGTGTGTGGAGGTGTGCGGAGGTGTGACAGCAGCAGGGTGTGTGTCTGTCTCTCAGGTTTGACTTCATGTTTCTTGGTGTGAGCACCGGGAGCAGCTGGATGCTGTTAGAGGAGGGACTGTATGCCAGGCTGTTATCACCATGTGGAGACACGGAGAAGAGAGAGACCCTGCTTTCACTGAACAGGTAGAAACACTCTCATTAGTCGTGGTTTGCTTGAATCCTACTGAGGCTGTCAGGTCCAGTGTGATCCTGGTCCAGTGTGGTGGACGTTCCTCCCTGATCAATACATTCATATAGTTAACGTCAGATTATCTCAGTGTTGTGAGTGAAGTGAAACTCGTCTCACTGTGCCTCAGCTTCATTTCATTCACTGTTACAGAGGAGAGTTTGATTCATGAGCTTTTCATCAGCCTTCATCATCATCATCATTATAAACTCATTCAGAGTGAATAACTAACAACATACTGGTATCAGTCTTCAGCAGAGCAGATATCAGTCCAACCCAGGACTGAGCTCTCTTTGTGAGTGTCCATCGTGTTTGTGTGTGTGTGTGTGTGTGTGTGTGTGTGTGTGTGTGTGTGTGTGTGTGTGTGTGTGTGAGTGAGTGAGCCTCTCATCAATGCGTCCAGTGTTGAGCCGGAGCACAGCGGACTCATTCATGAGGCTGCAGCAGAGTGTGTAAACAGTCCGCCCTCAGCTGCTCCTCAAGGAGCTGAAGTGTGACTTTCTCTGCTGACGAGTGGAAGGAAATGAGAGAGAGCATCGTTGGTCTTGGCTCATCCTCCTCAGCTGCTCACACTGCACACTGTTCTACACTGGCCTCAGACCAGCAGCACAGGGATTAAACAGGATCAAAGAGTTCCCACACAGAACCAGGACCAGGTCCCGATCAGCTCTGTGCTGTTTTCAGCAGGTTCCTGTTGACCCGCCTGTAGTGGTCACACTCACAGAGCAGGTCCTGATCACTGTTGTTTAAGGTGGACTGCATCACTGTAGTTTAAGGAGGACTACAACACTGTTGTTTAAGGTGGACTGCATCATAGATTCATCTTCAGGACAAAATCTAAGTCCCATCAGCCTCTGCTGTGTTTAGAAGTAATTATCACGTTAGCAGGCTAACACATTGAGCCATTATACCTGCTAAACATCAACATGTTAGCATTGTCACTGTGGGCATGTTAGCATGCTGATATTTAGCATTTAGCTCAAAGTACCGCAGTGTGCAAGTGCAGCCTGACTGAACAGTGATGGAGGTGTAAGACCACCATCCTCTCCTTCACCTCTGCTCCTACATTACTTCTGATGTAGAGGAGCTGCGGTGGATGGAGGCAGGACGCAGCCTCTTTTCTGTTTTCTTACATTTTATGTTTGATTTTATCTTTTTGTTTTTTTATATAAACTCATTATCTCCCTGAGTGTTTCTCCTGTTGTAAATTAGGACCAGATCAAAACTGAAGACTTGTGGTCCAGCGTGAGTGAGTGTGGACTGGTGACCGGTCCAGAGTGTGTTGGCTCCTGGTCCTTGGACTCTGAACAGGAGAAGTTGTTCAGAGAATCTGTGGATAGAGGAAAAATACAGATATAATGCAGCACCTGTTGTCTTAGTGAAGTTGTTTGTACAGAACCAGGTGATTCATGGTGTGATGGTGACTGGTAGATCGAAGGCCTAGCTCCTGTTAGAATGCAGACACTGTCAGGATCCATGAGCAGAGACAGACGGCCATGTTGGAGCCCCACAGCAGCAGGTATTTCACAGGTACCTGTGACAGTCCTGAGAGTTGTCTCTGGACAAACAGCCAGCAGCTGAATCAGACAGTAAATCCCTGTGTAGGCTTCAGTCTGCTGCTGCAGGGTGTTTCCCTCCAGTCACTGACACACACACTTCACATCCTCTCAGGATGTTACTGCCTCCCATCAAACAAATAGAAGAGTTTCCACCGACAGTCAGAGCCGAAAGAGTGAGTGATGTCGACGGGTCAGACAGGTGACACACCTGAGACATCACCTGTCACTCAGTGTACACTCTACACACATTTGACCTGTTCAGTAATCATAGTGATTATTGTTCTGTATTACTGTGAGTATTACTGTATTACTGTATTACTGTTCATTCATTGTTACTGTGGAAACAGCAACTGGTAAATGAAGCAAGCCTTAAGTTAAAAGGTGCCAGTCTACATTTTTTTGTGTGTTCTACGCCCAGACTGTATTTTCAGGGTAAGGGTTCCTGTGACGTGCGTGTTGGTCTCTGAGCTCTTTGAAAACACAGGTGACCTACACTCAGTGCTGCACCTGAACGCCTCCTGTGTGACAGAGGAGCTCTGAAGCTGCTTCTGTGGAGACACAGAAATTTAATGACCGGAATAATAAAGCATCAGTTTTCAGCTGATGTGAGCGGTGCAGGATGCAGCTCGACAGATGTTGTACAGCTGTTTTTTACCTCATGAGCTGATGTTGAAGCGTCACAGTAAATGTTGCTCGACTGATGAACTAAATTTTGAGACTGTCTTGACAGTGCGTGTGCAGAAGCAAAGGAAGCTTCTTTCAGATTTTCACATTCATCTGAGCTCCACCCATTAAGAAAGAAAGATCATCTAACATGTTTCTGACTCTCTGACTTCATGTAGACTCATTTTACACCTATTTATTTTTTATTTATAAAAGAGTTCAATATAAATCAGTCTTACACAGATTCATGTACATGGGACAAATATAATGTTAGTTAGATGCAGTATAGTTTGTGTGGAAAACAAGTGGATCCAGAGGCAGTCTGTATGATTTACAACAGCAACTGTCACAAGTCTGGATACAGATGTTAATACAGATGTTTGTGTTATATAAACAGGTTTATATCTATCTGCTGGTGACAGTCCTGAGTAACTAGGAGTGTGTGTGTGTGTGTGTGTGTGTGTGTGTGTGTGTGTGTGTGTGTGTGGTTGCTGTGGTTGTGACTCTGTGTAAACAGACCACAGTGTGTGTCTGATCCAGGTCTCTGCCTTACGTTACAGACATCAGACCTCCAGGATCTGAACTCTCAGAGCTGTGGGACTCTGTCAAACACTGCTCCGCCACACACACACTCCCCCACCACACACATGGTTTCCAGTATCGCTCTACACGCGTGTGCTGCGCAGCATCTGTCAGACATGGTAACACATGTGGCTGTCAGTGCTGTGTGTGTCACCCAGTCATGTGTCAAACACGTCCACACACATGCTGCTCAGTGTTAGAGGGGATTGTGCTGCTGCTACTGTGTGTGTGTGTGTGTGTGTGTGTGTGTGTCTGTCTGTGTGTGTGTGTGTGTGTGTGTGTGTGTGTGTGTGTGTGTGTGTGTGTGTGTGTGTGTGTCTGTCTGTGTGTGTGTGTGTGTCTGTCTGTGTGTGTGTGTGTGTGTGTGTGTGTGTGTGTGTGTGTGTGTGTGTGTGTGTGTCTGCTGACGCACTGGGGGAGTGTGTTATCTGCCTCTGGGTGTCAGGGGGTTCACTGATCTGTGTGTTACAGTCTGACGTCAGGAGGAACGTTCAGCATTCACACTGATCTCTAAAGGGACACTCCACAGTTTTTACACATCAACATCTGATTATGGGTCACAGGGAGCACTAAGTAACCCTGATGATGTCATAGTGATGTCATCAGATTTTTAACAGTAAAGTCTGAGTTATAAACTAGAGTTTGGAGCATTAACCACACAGAGACACTCTCATGAAAAGGGATTAAGAGTCATGACATCTCAGAGCCAAGGGAACCTGCTCTGTCTCTATTTGGTCGTAGCAGTGAGGCGCAGACCCAGATGTAGATCCAGGTCCAGATCTTTCCTCACTGTCGTTTAGATCAGAGCATGTATCCTCATGTCAGTGTAGATGTCTCCAGATAAGAACCTCAGTCTCACAGTAAACCCTCAGTTAACCGTTGTCTCTCCCTCTCCGTAGACGTCATCTCTCCGACACACTTCAACCCTTACTTCAGGCGGCTGACGTTTGACGTGTCGTCCATGGAGAAGAATGCGTCGAACCTGGTGAAGGCTGAGCTCAGGATCTTCCGTCTCCAGAACCCCGGAGCCCGAGTGTCCGAGCAGCGCATCGAGCTCTACCAGGTACCACACGCCTTCACCCTCCTCACCTCCTGACCGTCAGTGTACCTGTTTATGGGTGGATGTAGCGGGTGGTGTGTTGCCGTAGCTGTTGTCCACTGTTCAGCAGTCGGACAGTGCTGTGGGGGAAACTGGAGCCTGCTGGTCCAGGATCTGAGGCTTACAGCTGGGGTGACGGGGTCCTGGATGAGTTTCTCAGACTCTTCACCACTTTATCGGTGTGGACAGTCATCTGTCATGTGCTCTGTGAGGAACTTGAAGCTGCTCTCAGGCTACGTCCACACTACAAGACTAACATATCACATGACCATTCACGTGCAATGAGCATGCGTGAGCTTGTATAAACAGGTAGCAGAAAGTCTTCTCTGCAGTTGATTAGTCGCACAAAATACTACGAACGAGGAACAGTAAAGACAGTTGTAGCGTTAAAATATAGAATTTAACTGAACAACAGCTGCTAGTAAAGAAAACAAGGTCAATAACTCTTCAGTATTTCCTTATCATGTTGTATTCACCACTGGAAGTCGGGGCTGATAAGACCCAATCAGGGAGCGTGGGTGTCAATGACATCATTTCCAAAGGTCAGTTTTCGCGAGTCCAGACAACAACACCAACACCAGAGTTTTCAAACTAAAACAGGACCAGCAGCGTTTCTGAAACTGGGCTGTAGAACTGTGGAGTAGTGTGGACGTCGCATCAGTCTCTGCTCTCGTCCTGTTGATGGAGATCAGGTCGTGACCTCCTCTGCTTCCTAAACGATCCTCTCTTTGGTTCTTGGTGACGATGAGACAGTTCTCACAGCGTCAGAGCTCGGACTTCCTGTCTGTGAGCCTGCTCATCACTGTCGCAGTGTTTGAGGAACGAGAACATTACAGTTAACCCTGTGTCTGTTTTCTACTTCACTGGCCTGTGTAGGTCATGTACCTGTGAAACACAGTGTGTGCTTCAGCAGAAACACAGACCTAACATCATGAGACAGACAGACAGACGTGCGCAGCAGTATTTACCTGAGGACAACGTCAGAGGACACCTGGAACATTCACTCCTCCCTGATTTCAGGTTGTTATGTTGTGTTGGTTGTAGGGTTCTTGGTGTAGAAGTGATCCACAGAGTTACTGTGGTGGTACCAGTGTTTGAATTACAGGGGAGCTGGGGGAGGGGCTGGGTTTGGGTACCCCCAGAAGAGACCTGAGCAACATAACTTTGTGGAGGTCTATATAATCAGCGGCATTTCTAATGTTTTAATGAGTGATATGAGAAATGCATGAAATCCAATGAAAACGTAATGTCCTGTCATGGCTGCTGGTAAACATACTGTCACGTTTCTTCATTGTTCCTTTGTCTGAAAGCAGAACCAGAAAAATACATGAACACATGAAACACGTGGAAACATACATGTTGAGTTGAGCTGCATTAGAACACCGACCCTGTGATCACACCTCCATCCATCCCTGACTCCTCCCCCATTCATTCATTCCTGGTCAACTGACCAATCACTGCATAAAGTGGCTGTGCTCACCCCCTCCTGATTCAGACTGTGGAGAGGTGTGTGTATGTGTGTGTGCTTGTGTGTGTGTGTGTGTGTGTGGGTGGGTGTGGGGAGGGGGGGGTCATATTTGGATCATACAAATGCCTAGTATTTTAGTATTGCCTATACTAAGGCCCAGACTGCACGATGTCTAAGGAAAGATAATGTAAAACAGCCTATGATTTCTATTTTCACAACACCAAACGAACGAGAGAAAAAATAGATGAAAAATCATTCCCAAACCGGACAGACAACCTACAGGTATCATCTAATCAAACACACACCTCTTCTCACAACTTATAATCTCGAACAACTATTTTCTGCCCCATAAGCATTAGAAACCTACAATACCAAAAGCTGTAAACACATCACAAAAAACACGGTGTTCAAGAACATCTAACAACGTTCCAAAAAAAAAATATTCCAGTCGATCTCGACACAACCGGTACACAGTCCTATAGCGTTACATAAAAAAAACTAAAACCACTACTAACCACGACCGTACCATTAAATGATATCATGAGCAATAGTGGAGGGGAGATACACCCCCCACCCCCCAACCCCATCGCCCCCACCCCCCCTCTCCCCTCTAACAACAACTGTGATGCACTTTCTAAAGCTGAGGCTGCCACTGTTCATGAGGCTGAGTGGTCACAGTGCAGAAGTGAGGCTAGTGAAGTCACCCCATGTACCTGCCTGTGTCTGTCTGTCTCTCTCTGTCTGTCTGTCTCTCTGTGTTTACATCAGACAGGAGATGACAGCTGAACTAACTACAGCTCCAAACAGGGAGATTTTCTCACACAAACACTGTGTCTGTAAATGTGTGAGGGAGGAAGGGACGGGCCGGTACAAAGAGGGAGACCTGATAACATCCACTTCATTCACATTCATCACACACACACACACACACATTCATGTCTATACATAGCAGAACTTAACACCTCGTCTATAAATGTTTGAAAATATCTCAGCCTGTGATAAATCTCCTGCAGATGCTTCTATAGATCACACACTGAGGCGTTTTCTGTCCTTCTTCACAGAGGTCAAAGAATAAAATCACCACCTCTCTCCTCTGGATGATGTTAAACACATGAACATGATCAGTTTCAATCGTTAAAGCTATGAAGTGACAAACATATGATCTGAATTTACAGTGGCCCTGAGAGCTCAACACACTGCAACACATGCAAATAGTCAACATCAACACATGTGCTGCAAATACTCACAACACAATGGAAGTGTTTCCAGGGGACACTAAAAAGTGATGAACCTGCTGGGACACACTACAGGACACTGTGCTGTGCAGTGTACAAGGAGACTGATAATACACACACGGACAGACTCAGAGGTGATGCTCTAACATCTCTATTGAATAAAGGTTAGTTCAACTTTATTTAAACAGGAGGTCAGTTACAACAAGACGAAAAACAGTCATCAGACACTATAACTATAACATTCACAAGTATTTAATTAGTTAGTGTTGAGGAACTTTTAAAGGATATCGAAGCAGTGTTCATGTGTCAACATTAATACTCAGACTGTTGTGATTGTTCTTAATGTGAGTCCAGTGACAGGGAAGAGGACAAAATCTACAGCCCTCCTCTGTGCAAAAATAAATCTGAAGTTAATATAAGGCTTCAGTGATCAGAGTTAGACAGTCAAATCCACCAGTTCCATAATTGTCTTCCTTTTGTTTTTCTGTTTTCTGGAATCGTCCCAATGTCTTTGCTCATGATGTATTACATCTGAACAGGGAAGGTAAACTCCAGCTATCCCACAATATTAACCTGATGCTGCAGTCAAGTGATGACTGAGGCCTTTAGAAAGTACAAACTGACCTTAGTTATGATACCTGATCCATCCTAACTGATCACTCCAACTGATGTAACTGCAGGTTTCTATCAGACTTCGACTGTAGTGAGTAGAGACACTGCACAGAGACCACCATGTCTCACCGGTGACCACAAAGACAGACTTTGACTGGTTTATAACAAAGAGTCAGACTTCAGATGGTAGTCTGAATTCATAAAATAAGACTTTTTTCAATATAAAAAAAATGGCAGATGGAGGAACCACATCCAACCACTCAGCTCTGTTTACCCCAGCAGAAGATGTTTGTCTTTTGGAAGAATTCAACAGTTACAAGGACGTTTTACTTTGGAAAGTCAGCAAAGAGTGAAACAATGGAAAGCTAAATTTGATTTGGTCTCTAAAAACTCTTTTCCTTCTTTTTGCTCTCTCGATAACAATGTTAGCAAACCATGTTTTCCTGTTTCTTGTTGTTGGGTGCTACTGGTCAGCACAGGTGTCATTGATTGTTACCATGGTAACATTGGTCTTGGGCCTGAGTTAGCCTGGGTGTAAGGTGTCTAATGTTTATGGCTTAAAATGAGTCAGTCTTACTTGCATTAGACTGATCTATGTGCAACATTAACACTACAGACCAGTCTGAATATCTTGACCCCTGATCATCTTCATCATAGGAGTCCACAGAACATTCATAGACTATGGTGTTCCTCAAGGTAAGATTTCAGGTCCAGCTCTTTTTGCTCCTCCGGGCAACATTATCAATCAGCACACTCTCAAATATCACTGCTACGCAGATGATACACAGTTCTGTACACTCTTCTATCACCTGTTTCCTTGACATTAATATTATCTTGCCTAAATGAGCAGGAAACAGATTTTACTTGGGAGGATCATGAGCAGGAAGACAGACTGAGTCATCACGACTGAAGATCCAGATTTTTGACTGACTGGGTTTTTGTTTGTGTCTGAGCTTCAGGTCTCCTCTGTCAGGTTTCCCAAAGCAGCTCTAACAGGAGATGAGAGTGAAAGCAGCAGGAATAGTGTTTTACACATTAGGCAGAGACGAGCCAACACAAACACTTGGTTCTGAAGGACAGCAGAATAACACGGGTCTGTCCAGCATCTGGTTACGCTCTCACTGCTCCTCCCAGACCTGGACCTGGACCTGGCCAATCCACCAGAGACAGAGGAGCAGGTTCTAGACCACAATAGGGATGGGAATCGTTAAGATTTCAACAGTACTACTACTTTTACCGATTATCAATCCGGTTCTTTAACGGTTCTCTTATCAGTACTTTTGTAAGAGAAAAGAAAAAAACAAATGAAGAACAGAATTAACTTTGCTTCATTTTCTTTTATGTACTCAGTTAACATTCTTGAGTAGCAAACTTCAGCAGCACAGAACAAAACACTACTAAACACGATGGAAATGTAATTTAACACAATGATTTACTACAGGCCCCTCTTCTGAAATTGAAACTGAATTTCTGAATCTTTCTATTTCAGACTGAATTGAAGAACAGTCAGCTGGCTAGTGGTAACTTTTCATCATTAACACATGTTCGTATAATTCAAGGAACTGTGTGAGCCCGTCGTTCATCAGTCGTTGCACCAGGTGTGTCTTGTATGCCGCAGCCTGGATCTGCAGCATACAGTCTGTATGTGTGACGGACTTTCACTGGATGTTTCCAGAGTTCGCTCGTGTTTCCGCTCTTACATGAAAAACACTTCACCACGCTTCTGAGCAGGGTCTCTGTGTGTTTGTGTGTGTGCTAGATGAATGTCTTAATCAGAAACAGAGTTTGCGAAATAAAATGCATGAGAACTTTTATGTCGCAATAATGAATACGAAATATATTTTCTCAATTTCCCTTGTACCAAGAGCAGAATTGATAAAATCAGAGCTTATCAATACTAGGGTCTTTAAAAATGTAACCCAGCCCCAGTTTGCCTGTTTAATGCCAGGTTTTGTAACCCGTCCCTAGACCTCAACCCACTGTCCTCCAAGGCTGCTGTGTTGATCTATTGTGTATCATGTTGTGACTGCTGTCCATGCATTTGCAGAAATATCATCCAGGCTGAAGCACTGACGTATCTGCAGGTTTATCAAATGAGCCTTTCATCATTAATATCTGTTTAAATTTAGACCATTACGGCTCCACAAAGGGTTCAACCATGTCCCCCTACTGCTGCCTGTATCTAAAGCTGTCATCATACATGCAGCTGAAACTGTATCTGTTCAGGTTCAGGTTCATAGTGTTCAAGGTCAGGTTCGAACTGAATCAGTCCATCAACGGGAGAGATTCAGGTGGAAGAGGAGTCTGATCACACCTGGTTTTAGTCTGTGGACACATGCAGTACATGTTGGGCTGCAGTGTGGATTATGTTGACCCCTCTACCATTAATAGAAACTGGAGCTTCACAGGACCAGAGGACCACAGAACCTGTGATCTGTGTTCGTGTTCCTCTGACACAGTTGATCCACCTCTCTGGTCCAGACTGACCCTGTGTCCCTGCAGATTTGAGGTGTAGTGAAAGGAAATGTTGTCCAGACATTCATGTTCCCCAGAGAATGAACTCCACTGACATGGTTCTCAGAGGATGTGTCCTTAAAGAGTTTTCATCTGATGTCAGTTAAAACAATCTATATTAGTTTGTCTGCTCTGTATTTGTTGTCATGACAAAGGATCTGTTGTGGTTGTGCAAAACATGATTGGATGTTGAAGTGTTATAGTGCTGTTACAGAGGTCAGGTCAGGTTAAGTGCATAACATGTCTTTTTTATTTAATTTTTATTCAACATAGAAATCAAACAACTTAGAGGAGATGCTTATAAAATCACACTTGTTTTAACGTTTGTTCTTTTCATATCTGTTCCGAACATTATTAGATCATTTTTCTTCATTGTTAATAGTAATATTCCTGCTACATTAACATGAGTAGCGCATTACCCAGAACCACACCGCTCATGGAGCAGGAATGTCACAGGAAAAGTAATAAAGCATTTCGTTAATTCTATATTTTAATAGACATTAAAAACAGGGATTGTAAAAAGAATTTATCAATGAACTATTAATCCATCAGTAAATACTTAAGTTTTAAAAAGTGATTTACAAAAACAGCACGACACACTCATCAAAACTCACAGGTTAGCTCTCCGACCAATCAGAGAGCTTGTTACATCCCCTGGTCAGTTGGGATTGTTTAGCCTGGTTTTACCAGAGTGTCAGAGAGGCTAACAGGAGAAGCTAAATGAAGCAAATCGATCAGCTAATAGGAAAAGCAGCTGGAAAGAGGAAATGGAAATTGAAGAGGGAGTCCAGGTACGTAATCCTTTTTTTAAAAATGCCTTTTCAAATAGTTTTTAAAATTCTATTTATTCATGAATTAATAAATGTTTTTATAAATGGTTTATTTAATGAGCGTTTTATGCTGTTCCATTTTTAAATCTCCAGTATTTACTGATGGATTAATAGCTCATTTATAAATTCTTTTTCAATTCCTATTTTTAATGCCTATTAAAATATGAAATTAAGGAAATGCTTTACTACTTTTCCTGTGACATCCCTGCTCCTCCATGCAAACCACCCATAAATGAACACTCCTGTGACTGTAGCATTGTCTATAAGCCTATACTGTAGCATGAAATAAAAAACAAGTGTACTAAAAAAAAACTAAATTAAAGATAATTGTAAAATAAAAACAAAATAAATAAAAGCAAGAAAAGAAAAAGGAAGTGACTAGAGCTGTGGCACTGCTCGTAGTCATGGTGACCACCTCTCAGAAACCCTGTCTGTTCTCAGCTGTAAGCTCTCCATTGTGTTATGATGGGGGCTGACACTGTTACCATTTTCTTTGCTAGAAACAGCAACATTCTTGATAAATAAAAAAAATCTCCATCTGTGATATTATCAGGTTATACCCAGTATGAAAAGTGCTGGGTCTAAACTAAAGTTCATTCCTAAAATCTGTTTGATCTCTTTTTGAACACACCAGAAATCCAGGATAATATGCCTGACCAACAGTCCATATGTGTTTGTTTTACCCATGACCACAGTCTCTCTCTAACCTAAACTAAGTGTCTGTGCAGTTTAAAGAACTAAACTACAAGACCCTAAAAGAAACATATTAGTACAGTTATTTGATATTTATTTTATTACTTTTCTAATCAACAGCTCTTAAATACTACTCCTGACCTCTCCACAGATTTTAGGACACAAAGACCTGACGTCCCCGACACAGCGGTATATCGACAGCAAGGTGGTACGAACACAGACGGAGGGAGAGTGGCTGTCGTTTGACGTCACAGAGGCAGTGAGCGAGTGGCTGAACCACAGAGGTGAGTGTGTTGCCTCCATCAGTGTCTCATGTCCCCTCATGTGTCACCTGGTGACATCACCTGGACGTGGCTCTTGTTTTTCTCCACAGACAGAAACAGTGGATTCAAGATCAGCCTGCACTGCCCCTGCTGCACGTTTGTACCGTCAAATAACTACATTATTCCCAACAAGAGCGAGGAGCTGGAGGCGCGGTTCGCAGGTGACTTCACTCAGATAGTTGTGAAAGGATGTTGTCTATGTCTGGTGTTAGTCCGTGTTTTAATATTGTCAAGAAAACCCATCAAAGCCAACAGTGTGGTAGGCCTCCTCTATCCTGTCTCTCAGCTCAGTATCTGGTCTCTGATCTGATCTGGTTTTCCTGGTTTTCACCCTCTCTGAAGAAAAGACTTTGGCCCAGATACACTGTCTCATCATCTGGGTGTATAACACTACTGAGGACATAAATCTTTCAAAACAAATAACACAAATATGTGGATTTATTTTTAAAATGACTCACTGATTCACTGAAACAGCGTCTCACTGAAGTTTTAATCGAACAAACAGAAGGAAACGGTGACTTTGTTAGGGACTATTTTCAGCAGCGGATTGATCCACAATTGGTGCTCCAGTGTGTATTATATTTTTTATTAATGAAGCGCTTGTTATTTACAAGTACCAGAAAGGAAACGACAAGTTTATGTAGTAGTTTATTTGAGTAGCTCATCTTTAAAATGACTCAATGATTTACTGAATCAGCTGATCTCGGCGGTTTTTATCTGCAGCTCATTGATCTCTCTGTGATGTTTCCAGGTATTGACGACAGCTTCATCCACGGCGGCGACCTGAAGGTGTTTAAGAGGCGGCGGCACAGTGCTCGGGCTCCGCACCTTCTGCTCATGCTGCTGCCTTCATACAGGCTGGAGTCCCAGTCCCAGTCCCAGTCCCAGTCCCAGGCCCAGCACAAGAACCATCGATCCAAGAGAGCCCTGGATGCTGCCTACTGCTCCAAGTACTGACCTGGAGGCCACACACACACACACACACACACACACACACACACACACACACACACACTCACACGCACATTTTTTTGGATTGTGGTTCTTCATTTATGTGTTAGCGGAAGAATTTCTCTGGTCATAAATCAAACCACACAGGAAATACAACATACAACCAGCTGAACCTCTCACTGACAAATTAATTGGTGAGATCTGGAACAGAGAAGAAGTCAGACAAACCTCCATCACAGTCTATGTAGAATCTGGTTTACTGGCTGGTCCCACCAAGGTATCAGGTTTGAGTCAGGGTCAGGCTGGAGCTGCATGATATGCAAAAAAGAATCATATTATAATTATTTTGGCAGATGTTGTGATTTCAGTTGGAATGATCATCGTTTCATTTTGATTTTCACTGAAAAAAATGATGATGATGTGATAATTGTTGGTCTTGTACCAAACAATCATGTTCTTTTACCTCTGGTAAACACACATCTTACCTTTATCAAAAAAAAAAATCACAGCTCCTGTGATTTGGATGTTGCATTTGGCCATGTTGCAATTTCGATTATATTGAATTGTGCATCCAGAGTTCAGGCTCAGGCTACATTCTGGTTTGGTTCTTTTCCTTTTGTCCAAACACATACTGTATGAGACGTGTTTCAAGTAGATCAGCAGCAGCCACTGAGGCGTACTGAGGAGAACCAGTAGCCTATAGCTGATGGTTCATCGAAACAATGACATCAGCTGTGAGTATAACCTGGACCTGTTTGTCACCTGGACTCACCTGTCCTCGCCTGTCCTCTTCCTCTCTGTAGAAATGTTCAGGACAACTGCTGCTTACGGTCGCTCTACATTGACTTCAAGAAGGACCTGGGCTGGAGGTGGATCCACGAGCCAAAGGGATATGACGCCAACTTCTGTGCCGGGGCGTGTCCGTATCTGTGGAGCGCCGACACCCAGCATTCCAAGGTAGAGTGTCAAGGAGAAGGTCAAAGGTCAAACAGTCTGTGGTGGTCTGATGTTTTCTTCATGGCTCTCATTCTGGTGTTCCAGGTGTTAGGCCTTTACAACACCATCAACCCTGAAGCATCAGCATCACCCTGCTGCGTCTCCCAGGACCTGGAGCCCCTCACCATCCTCTACTACATTGGCAAGACCCCCAAGATAGAGCAGCTCTCCAACATGAAGGTCAAGTCCTGCAAGTGCAGCTAGAAGCCTTCAGAAGCCAACACACACACACACACACACACACACACACAGTGGACTTGGGCATACATACAGTCGAACCACAACAGTACTTTTTCATGCACTACTATACTCACAGCAGTGTTTTCACACAGTCAGTTCAGACACACACACACACACACACACACACACACACACACACACAGGATCAGTGGTGTCATGATACCTCAGGCTTTGATATCAGAGATACTGGTTTCAAACAAGAATTGTTGCCTCGCGGTTGTTTCCTCCACCAACCTTCAGGAAATATGGCCACAGTCTCTTCTTCTTGAGTTACAGCAGAACAAATTATGATGTCACAGTGGAGTTGCCCTTTGACCATTCGGACATAAAATATAAAATGTCATCACCTAATTTTATCCTCATAAACATTTGAGTTAAATTGTGTCATAATTAGTGTATGAATTTGTGAATTATGACCAAAAACAGGATTTCTCTGGCTGTCGCCGGCGCAGAGGCATAAAAAGTAGATCCCAATCCATGTCCCATGTCATTATACATTTAGTCCCAGTTGCTATGGTGACAGCCCTGGTTACTGTGTCCTGAAAAGATTGTATTAATCTTCAGCAGTGGTATCAAAGACAGAACCTGTATTATTGTGACACCACTGCACACACACACACACACACACACACACACACACAAATATGGCTTTTGTACAGGTCTGTCTGGCGTTTTAAGGCCCTGTCAACATGCACCACCTCACACACCAAGACACGAGAGTAAGGCAAACACTGGAAGTTTAAGTGATAAGTGTCTATATGTGAAATAAGTCCTGAAGATAACACAGCCCCACCCTACACCTCACCCTCCGCCCCCCCCC